ATAAATCTTGATTCTCTGTATTGCCCTCTCCACATGCATTCGTGCCACTGCTATATTTTCTGACCTTCTACTTTCAACTCCCCTCATTTGTGAGCGGTCTTTCCCCTTAAAATCTGGGATGATAACTTTAACACCTGGAACACTTAAGACATCATCTATGTCAAATCCTCTATCAGCCATTATCTCATCCCCCTCTTTCATTGCATCTAGTAATTCATTACAGTTTGATGTAATATGTTTGTCCGAAGTGCGCGCACCCCAAGCTCGAGAAACATAAACAACTGCTGCATGTGTGTCAATTTCAACTAAAAACTTGAATGTTGTGTGCCCTTTATAATTGGAATATATTTCTTTGCATGCTTGCAATGATGATGGTTTCTCTGTAAAAATTTCTGTACAATCAATGATAATCTTCACATTTAGAAAATTGGAAAAGTGCTTGGCATTTCCTTCATCCAGGGATTCTAGCATTTGGCAAAGGTCTTTTAATTCAAAGCACACTCCAGGTACTGAAACAAAGCACTGAAAGAACCATAATTAGGAAATCCAGTCCAAAACTGAAAGCTAGGATCATCATGCTTCAATTGGGCTAAAATGAGGCATCGTGAGCGAAGATTTTTGTTTTCTTCTTCAAGTTTCTGTACTCTACTTTCTAAGTCATTGATATGCTTTAAGGTTTCTGAATCAAAGTTTAGGTTGTCTGGATAAGCCTGTGTTCTACAATAATCATGTGCTTTTAGAGGATGGCTTGAAGGAAGGCATACTCCCCAAACATTGTGCCTTCCAAAGTTATCATCTTGTGGATTACCTTTAGGCCTCTCTTTTCGAGTGGGTACCTAAGTTAAAATATAAAGGATTTTAGCAATTGCTGCACAGTGCGCAAACGTTGAATGTTATAGAACAGGTTATGAATTATTAAAATTCACAACTGGTTTTTAAAAAGCGTATCTGATTGGTCTATGAAAAAAAAACATGCCAATCAAACCTTTGAGGAAAAGATAAATCGGAACGAAGTTTGGACTGGCTTACCGGCATTCTTCCTTGCCTCTTCAGCTTCGGTTCTGTAATAACTTCCAATGCTGTGTCTTTTGTGACACTGTTGTTCGTGGTCCTTGGAGTTGTTTGTGCCAAGTGAGAGTATTCAAAAATCGAAGGAATAAAATTTCGACTGGTTCTTTCATCTGACTTCACGCCGTCAGCGAAATGAGAAGAACACAGTCGTGTGTTTTCAGAAGGGACAAAATCACGCCTAATTCTAGCTAGCCAGCTCTTTCTCCTAGTTTTCTCTTTCGGAATTCTGTAGAATTGTAGTTCAGGGTATTTCGTTCGGTTATTTGAGCATCCAGGAGCACAACAATAGTCTTTTTTACCCATTATTAACAATGTAAAATTGTAAACAAATGGTACAAAGGAAATATTTTTTAAACAACCCCCCAAAGCGCAAACCATTATGGTATTTGTGAAAGAGGAGAATAGTCTTTTTTACCTATTATTAACAGTTTAAAATTGTAAACAAATGGTACAAAGGAAATATTTTTTAAATAACCCCCCAAAGCGCAAAGCATTATGGTATTTGTGAAAGAGGAGAATATGCAAACTTATTAGTTATTATATACGTGTTATGTGGCTTTTATTTTCTATATGCGCGAGGTAGGAGATCTTTACAAAGTTTGACTAATGTTCACTAATGTTCTCTTCTTTCTCGTTCTTCTCTTCTCTTCTGATTCTTCGTCCTTTCGGACCTCGTTGTTTTCTGTTCTCGTCTTGGTTGTCTGTTCTGTCAGGTTGAGCTTCTCCAACGTTTCATATGGTTTTTTACTCCGCTAGTCCACTCCTTTTAGTCCACTCTCGTGTTTAGTCCACTCCTTTTAGTCCACTCTCGTGTTTAGTTCACTCCTTTTAGTCCACTCTCGTGTTTAATCCACTCCTTTTAGTCCACTCTCGTATTTAGTCCACTGAATGTTCTGTTGCTGTGCGCCTCCTTTTATAATAAAATTTGAGGGGATCTTGAAGACGCCCTGTGCAAGGTGATGTGATTCACACAATCCAATCAGCGTTGTAGGTTGTAAGTGTGGGTTGGCGTTAGAAGCTCGGTCCAGCTCTCATACTTTGTTTACTTAAGGCCGGTGACGCACTAGTTAAGTTGGTCTTTTACTTAATCGATCACTGTTAAAACTTGTTCACAACTTAAAATATTTATCATCAACTTAAAGTACAATTATCAACTTATTACTTTGTGAACCGTATCTCAACTTATAAACTATTTTACTAATAATTTCATCGAATTAAGCTTTTAGTGACGTAAGGCTTCAAGTGCTTAACCGAGCAAAATATAACAAAGACATGATTGACATAAACTAGTATCCGCCTAGAACTTATGTTCTTAAGTCGTGACACTTGTACTTTGTACGACATACTATTGTTTCGGAGGAAATCCCATGGGCTGTCACCTCATGACAGGAAAAGTAATTTTGTGATTCCGAAGGGTCATAATAATATTTACTTTACACTTCATTTTGTGTGACATGTTCCCCAAGTAAGTTCCTCGTCGATATTGACCTTCTATTTCTTAACAATGCTAAATTACATTATATATACGCATTTCGTAACAATCCTCCTCACCTAGAATAAGCTGTCCTCAGCTTCGAGTGAAGATAAGAACTTTAGTTAACTAAGTATCATACATATGTGTATGTATATGTCTACAATTTCCCAACTATTTTAATTTTTTGAGCTCGGCGTGGCTATCACAGGCATATTACCAAATGCCTAATAACTGAGACCATACATATAGTACGTGTTGTTAATCTACGACAACACTACATAATTGATTATACAAGATACCATAATCTAAATTTAATTTTATACTAATGCCTATATGTACCTCAGGGGTAATCTACAATTATATATCCAACACGTGAGAATATAGCGATTTAAACCAAAATCAGTGTGAAAACAAGGTGTAGAAATTGCCTGTTTTCCTGAATGTATGTACCAGGGACTTGAGCGAAATTTTAAATTTTGTAGATGCAATCAGAAAGTGTACCCAAAATTATTCAAATTTCATAAAATATCTTATCAATGCAACAGCGAAAATTGTATTCAGATTCTTGGTTGATCAACTTACATAACAGGAAATTATTATAAAGCTCTTCCGACAAAACATCTCTCCATAATAATAACCTAAACCTATTTATATACGTCTTAATAATTCTTCAAAATATTTCAACTCATGCAAACAAATTTTATACGTATACTTCTTAATATTACTGAAACTCATTTCATTTATTTTTAATCGTCATGCACAGCAAACCAACTCCAAAATATAGGTTTTCATCAAAAATATAAATACCGAGTCTACATAGAGAAAACAAGAATGTGTCTAATATTTAAGCTTTTGGCTTGAAAAAGAATTATAATCTATTACAACAAGTTTGGGAGACCCTTGACTGTCCCGGGGGAAGAGAAAAATATATTATCAACGAATGACGCATAACTAAAAGCGTCAGAATTAAATTTATATACTGACCCAATTAAAAACATGCATGCGCTATCCTACGGCAACATGTTTAATTAGCATGCTGAGTGTACCTAAGGAATTTTAGTTGAACAGCCATACTCTCGTGTTTAATATTATCGAAATATACAGAAAAATAAAAACATATACGTGTAACATGACAATGACAAAAACTAATATTATACAAATCTTAAAATGCGTTCAGTTTCATGTCCATGTATAAACGTGCTGACCATCAGGAAGGATCTGGAAAACTCTGAGACTTTCATAGCGAGAAATTTTGGACACGCACAGGGGGGTTCTAATTTATTCTAACGAATAAATTGTTCTAATTTATTCTAACGAATCACAAGTGAAATACACACGATATATCACATTCTAAATACCATAAAATGCGACAAAAAAAGTTCGAATATGCCTTAAAACCATAGCAACAAGTCAAGGCTTGGTTGCCTAGCAAATATGGACAATGAAACACAATTTCAGTTATTTTTTGAAGAGTTTTTTGGGGAAAAAGGTCAGTTTTGATGAAAATATAACGTTGAAATTTGCTGATTTTGAAGCTAAAAACCGCAAGAGATATATTTTCACATTTTGCACTGATGGGTGTTCAAAATCATCGCTCGGAGTTTAGAAAACCGATAGAACATTTTGGTTATCGTGGCCCGATCGCGCGAAAATCTTACAAGTTCAACGGTCAAAACAACTTTCGACGCTATAAATGGTGTTTTTCTATACTTTAATAGCCGTTGGCTATTTCCTGCAAAACCGCAAGAAGTATTAACATCTAAATATCATCCATGATATCAAAACATCAAGTTTTACGTCTAAAAACTGAATCAGATAGAACATTTTCACATTTTTAAAAAGTTTAGAGGTAAGGCCACATTTTTAATATAACCCTAATAAAGCCGTGTGATTTCGCGTGGCCATATTGTTTCGAATCTCCCGAAGTCTGTGTATCTACCGCGCGTGCGCGTCCAAAATTTCTCGCCATGTCATACGTTTCAGACTCTTAGTAGTCATATTTCAACGACCACGGAGGCTTCCACTGGTACCTCGTTGGCTGGATATTCGACATAGCCATCATATTAGGATAGAGAGAGAATATGTCGCCAAACTCGTCTTGGACTGCAGACTGAGGGCAAAACGACTGTAGTTTCAATTCTAGTTCATGGGAAGTGTAGAGGTTGTGAACAGTTGTCTTACAGAGACAACCAAAAAATGAAACAAAGTCTAGTATTGCCATAAGTAGAAGTATTGATGAACACAGAACGTGCGTTTTATTCGACCCGGTCATCATGCCGTTCCTTCAAAGTTAGTATAGTACAAAGGCGAGGTATTCCTAGAGCCGTTCCTCCACCAAGTTGTTATGTGGTTTTATTTCTACGCGAGGTAGTGGATTGTTACAATAATTCAACTAAAGTTCGTTACTGTTCTCTTCTTTTTCTATCTTCGATCTTGATCGTCGTTAAATGTTCTTGTCTTCTTCGTCAGTTCTGTCGTTGAGCTTCCTAACGTTTCATAAGTTAATCTTTACTCCGCTAGTCCACTGAATGTTCTGTTAGGTTGAGCTTCTCCAACGTTTCATATGGGTTTTTTACTCCGCTAGTCCACTCCTTTTAGTCCACTCCTTTTAGTCCACTCTCGTGTTTAGTCCACTCCTTTTAGTCCACTCTCGTGTTTAATCCACTCCTTTTAGTCCACTCTCGTATTTAGTCCACTGAATGTTCTGTTGCTGTGCGCCTCCTTTTATAATAAAATTTGAGGGGATCTTGAAGACGCCCTGTGCAAGGTGATGTGATTCACACAATCCAATCAGCGTTGTAGGTTGTAAGTGTGGGTTGGCGTTAGAAGCTCGGTCCAGCTCTCATACTTTGTTTACTTAAGGCCGGTGACGCACTAGTTAAGTTGGTCTTTTACTTAATCGATCACTGTTAAAACTTGTTCACAACTTAAAATATTTATCATCAACTTAAAGTACAATTATCAACTTATTACTCTGTGAACCGTATCTCAACTTATAAACTATTTTACTAATAATTTCATCGAATTAAGCTTTTAGTGACGTAAGGCTTCAAGTGCTTAACCGAGCAAAATATAACAAAGACATGATTGACATAAACTAGTATCCGCCTAGAACTTATGTTCTTAAGTCGTGACACTTGTACTTTGTACGACATACTATTGTTTCGGAGGAAATCCCATGGGCTGTCACCTCATGACAGGAAAAGTAATTTTGTGATTCCGAAGGGTCATAATAATATTTACTTTACACTTCATTTTGTGTGACATGTTCCCCAAGTAAGTTCCTCGTCGATATTGACCTTCTATTTCTTAACAATGCTAAATTACATTATATATACGCATTTCGTAACATACGTGCAAGAAAGCAAATCTATTACAAAAGAAGTTGTAATTATAGTAAACGTTTTACCAAGTAATATCGTATTAAATATGGAGAGAGATATAGTACTTAGGAAGGCAGTGGCTTTCTCTTTGGAGAAAATGGGAAGGAAAGGAACTCAGTTAAAACCACAACAGTTCAAAACTATAAAGAAGATAATTATCAATAACGAAGATCCAGTGTGTGTTTTGCCAACTGGATACGGGAAATCTTTAACATACCAGCTCTTACCATATGCATATATATGACTATTATCTGTCTAAAACGCAACTCAAGCATGCCGGTCAAACACAGAACATTGACCCTTCTACAATTACAGTCATCTCGCCGTTGAACGCCCTTATGCTAGACCAAGTCAACAAATTGAAAGAATATGTCAAGGTTTGCATCCTTAAAATGGTTCCTGATGAAAATCCTATAGATATGGTAAAAAAATCTCGCGACCAAGCCAGATTATATTCGCCCATCCGAAAGCATTAATAGACAACAAACTTGTTTTTCATAATCTCTCATCCTCTTTTAAAGAGCGTATTAAAACTATTGTTATTGATGAGGCACATCTAGTTGAAGAATGGTAAGTATAGTTGCAATAAACTTTTAATTAAATATATCCAACAGATAGTTAAAGGAGCTGTGTCACCTCGTGCGCATCTTTTCTGCGCATAACAAAAATGATCGGAAATTGTCGGAAATCATTCGGAACAAATGTCGCCATACGGATGAGTGAAGCAAAACAATATGAGGAAAATCAATATGGTAAGTATAAATTTCCATATATTTGCATATAAGAAAGCAAGTTTTTTAATTTTGAACTTGTTATTATAACTTTACGGTATAAGCAAGCCGTTGTGATTGCAAAAGCTCGTGTAGCACCAAGAGAAAGGGAAATAGAGGCTGTCCATGCAAAGGGAATAACTCATTGTGTTCGAGCGAGTGTAAATGCGGTACCCGTGCAAAACCTTGCAAGAATAGAGTAAGTCCGAAGAAAATATTCTTCTTTTGACTAGAAAGCCTTTCAAACTGACAATATTTCTTTTTTTGTTTTAGGAAATAGTAGAAAATCCCGACAGAGAGCGAGACGACAGAAGCAGACCAGCAGCACGAACACGTGCAAAATCAAGCGGCGGAGCGCAAGGTTTTCGTTTGAGCCACAATCCCATGGAATCCGAGGAAAGTCAGAGAGAAAAAGAGCACAAGGACGTTAAGGTAGAATTTATATAGCCACATAGCAGAGGCAATTTATCATCCTTTAACATTTTACACTTTGTGAATTTATTTTGTCATTTTGATGCAGGACTTCATTGATACATTGGACGAGAGTTTGGTGAGAAAGCTTGCAATTCGAGGCTTGCGCAGGGGAATTGGTAGCATGGACTACATACACTCCTTGTTACTAATGGAGGATGACCTGGATGAGGCTGGTGATGAGAGTCAGTTTTGGCATGGAACCTCCACACAAGATCCAGAGGCACAGGATCAACCAAATGAGCCACCCACCCAAGATCCAGAGCACTTTGGAACAAATAAGCCTGACTGGTGTAATTGTGGAAGATGTCAACCCATGCCACAGGAGGTTGAGAACAAGTGCTGTAAATTAAAAAAATGCATCACACTTTCTTCCCGCTTCACAAAATTATGCCTCGACCCTGATGTGCTGGAGCTGTGTATAAGAAATACGGGAGATATACGTAATGACAGGGAAGATAATAGCACAAGAGCATTTAGAAAGGCAGCATATAGACAATTTATTTTGGCACGGCATGGTCACCTGGGCAGGGGTAACAGACGAGTATGCCCCTCATGTGTTGTTTTAAAAATTAAGGAACGTTTTCCATCAATCACAGGAATTTACATGGGATTTAGGGAACACTAAGTCAGATAATTTTAAATGGGGACAATGAAGTTTGAAACATAAAGGGTTTCTTAAAAAGAATTGGGAACTCAAAAGTATTTTTTTGAAACTGAATATTTCTAGCACACCAGGGGCTGGTTGTACAAAGGCTAGATAGTGCTATCCACCAGATAGTGTTTTTTTGATTGCCCTAAAGTTGCCATTTGTTGAGTTGCTATTAATATTCTTACATCGATATTATTTTCATAACTGATAAAAAAGCACTATCTGGTGAATAGCACTATCTAACTTCCATACAACTGCTCCCTGGTACTGTAATTTATTGTTATTTTAAGTATATACATATAGATATCAAGATGGTAATATTATAAATTTATGTACAGTCAATAGATTTAATTGCGAGTTCAGGCTGTTCACTTGTTTGCACACATGTCTATGTAAATCTGCTCCTTCGTTCAACAATTTCTTTAGTAGGAGGAGGTGGGACATGAGCAATTGTTGGAGCTATTAAAGCAGGGTCACTTGTATTGAGGGCAACAAGTTGTGTCACGCCACCACTATCACCAATTCTCCTTCTAAATATTTTCGAAATGAGCACTGGCACATATTCATGAGCTCTTTGTCACTTCACAAATTTGTTATCCCACTGCCTTGTCCTTGGGTTATATTTTCTAGTAACCAAATTTTCACCAGCTTTGTTGTTGTGCTTGTGGAAGATTTATATGGAAATTCCAATCAATTGCAGTGAGCTGCCTTCTTGCCTTGTATGCTCTATAGCTAAATCAAATAGCAATGTGTAATAATCTTTGAATTATTTGTACCCACACAAGAGGAGTTCAAGGCTATTGTGTAACTAACAAAACAACTTTGCATTTCAAGATAAGTACTAAAGGTGGTATACCATCCTGTTAACAAAAGGCTTACCTGAAGGGCGTTTGTTTTGGGGTGTAGACTAAACCAAGGCTATTAGCACACTCAATACCACCAGTATGCCTATTAGATGAAATAAAAAATAAATGAAAATAACCAGAAACTAGATTGCTTATCTCAACCAGTTTTTCTTCCTTACCTGAACCGGGTATAATACTTGAAAGAAGCAAGTAATTCTGGGTTCAAAATTACTTTTTGCAGTTCAACAAAATCTTTGTCTCGTCGATCAAACCAAGGGAGAGTTTCATCATGCTCACCCTCCTCATGGTCACATTCGCCAACTAGCCATTGATGATCATTGCAGATGTGATTGTGATTGTGATCGTGATTATTATTAAAATACTTGAATGGCAGTTCAAAAACGAACTGAAAACACAAGTTTACAAGTATCAGAAATAAGACTATTTACATATTTACAGTGATAAAATACTCAGAAATACAATTACTAACATGTTAATACCATAACTACAAAAAGATATGCTAACATTAGGTTCTAAAATATTAAAATATTAAAATGAGTTTAATTTACGTATGCAATACGGCAAAAAGCTATCATTATAGCGTTTCGTTCGACATTTAAAAAGAGAGATCGATCGAGGATGTCTGAGATCGTACTCATGGGTTAAAAGTTTGGGTAATAGACTAGAAATTTTACCCGAAGGGTCATTATAATTATTTTTATAAAAGGTTCTGCATAACCGTTCCCTTCTCGCTTCTAAGGTAGGTAAATTCAGGTCTTTAAGGCTTTCGGTTTAGGACAAATGGGGAAAAATAATTTTGAACGCACGTTGCTGAATATGTTCCAATTCAACGGTGAGGAAATTAGGTAGTGAGGTATGCCAAACTGGACATGCATATTCCAGGACAGGTCTGATGAAACTACAATATACCGCCTTAAGATCACTAGGTTGGACACCATTTCTTCTTAATAGCCTTAAGACATACAGGCGTTTGCTTGCTTTAGAGGATATGTGCCTGATATGTGTGGTCCACTTGAGATCGGAGGTTAAATTTACTCCCAGGAGTTTGATAGAGTTCACAGCCTCCAGAGGTAGGTTATTGACAAGCAAGGGTTGTGCCGGGGGTTGATTGATCAAGAAGGACACGGTGAAATCTTTAGTTTTCAACTTCAGAAATAGCACAATCATCAACGTACTTGTACAGTGGTAGTTCACTGGATAGATCATTGACCATTATAAGAAAGAACAAAGGGCCCAGTTTTGTGCCTTGCGGAACTCCAGCATTGATTTCTTTCCAATCAGATTTACAAGATTTTAATTTAACGCGCTGTTGTCTGCCTTGAAGGAAACTTGAACACCAGTTTAATAACACGGGTGGAACGTTGAGGAGTTGTAATTTGCGCATTAGAATGTTATGGTCAATTCCATCAAACGCTTTGGAAAAATCAATAAAGCAGGATCGAATAATGGTATTAGGTGTTTCCAGGGCCGAAAGCCAATGGTGGATTAGGTGCACGAGGGCGTGAGTCGTTGAGGACTTTTTCACACAGCCAAACTGGAGGGGATCAATGAATGGCATAACAATGGGTGCAAGCCAATTGAACACGAAAGACTCAAGGATCTTGCTCAGTACTGCTGTGAGGGATATAGGTCTAAGGTCCGTATCAATAGATTTCGGTGTAGGGATCTTGCTTAAAGGGAGAACATCCGCGCATTTCCACAGATCAGGTACACGACCTTCTCTAATGGAAGAGTTAAACATGGAGCATACAGGGTAGCTAATATTTGCGGCACATGTTTTCAGGACCCAATTGGGGATCTCATCAGGTCCTACAGACTTACGATCGTTAACACCTGCCAATGCAAGTTCAACAGCATCACGCGTAATGACGTATCTATCAGGAACATTGGAAACGGGTACTGGAGGAAATTCAAATGCGGTATATCAGCACAGTACTGCAGAAGGATTCATTAATGACGGTGGCAAGTTCAAAGTCTCTCAAGACGGTGCCGTTTATGGCTAGACTATTAAACGGAGGGGGGTTGGACATTCCTGACAACTGCTTGATACCGTCCCACCACTTTTTAGGATTGCTCTGGTTCATGTGATTGATTTTGTCGTTATAGAATCTTCGACGTGCACTTTTACAGAGTTTTATCACTTTATTGCGATAAACATTAAATTTGGGAAGGTCATTATTCAACCAAGCTTGTTGGAGTTTAACAGTGCGCATGGGAATACATGAATTCAAAGCACCATGAACCACAGACTGGAACAAATCCAGTTGATCGTCACATGAATTTCGCCTCATGAGCGGTGTCCAATTGACCGAGTCCAGGCAGGATATCAAATTTCGTTTGTTGGAAACACGATAATCACGCTTTGGGAGTCGTGTGGTGTGTAGGCTTGGAGCATGTGGTGAAGTGGGTTGAAGTAATATGCTAGAATGATCAGATTGGCCAATAGGTGGCAGGATGGTAGCATCGTAGTAAGCCGATAAAGTTGAAAATGCTTGATCAAGGATATTACTTCCCCTGGTAGGCTTGGTGACCAGAGTTTTCAATCTAAAGGAATTGCACAGATTTCCTGGCTTAAATTGGTTAAAATCTCCGAGAACCAGGACAGCGGAATTAGGATAGTTTGCCAGTGAGGAATCTAAACATTTGAAGATATGCGTTCGAAGCGCGTGGTCATCGCTTTGGGGGGGGTGATAAACTGTTCCCAGGATAATGGAGTTTATTCCTCGGGGTAATCGATCCATTTTGATTAAAAACCATTGACTCTCAATTTCAGGATCGCCTAAGTCAGTTAATTCGGTAAAATTAAGGTTTGAGTTAAAATAGGAACAAAGACCACCACCGCGCTGGTTATTCATTCTATCACGTCGGCAAGATACATAACCAGGAATACGTATAGACTCATTAGTTATTTGTGGATTTAACCATGTTTCAGTAATTACGGCAACGTCACACAGTTCGATAGAAATTGATGCAGAAACTTCGTCTAACTTGTTGACCATCGACCTAACATTACTAAACCAAATCTTGGGAAAGCGTGGGATCGTAACAGGAGTCTTCAATGGGATTAATAATCTAAAATTGGGAACCCAGATGCGCTCCCGCCGTTTGTTTTTTCTGTAAGTAATCCTAGTAGGTATTCTCATCTCTGCTGGCTGATATTGTTCCGTGTTACTCGATGAACATAGTGGAGGTATTCCTTCCACGACTTCATTTGTTCTATGGGGTCTATTTGAAGACTCGAGTTGAACTTTATCAGGGGCTTTATAAGCGTTGGCGGCTGCCAGAAATGGACCCTTGTTGGATTCCGAGGCGGCCTTGGACGGTAGTTTCTCCTTGGACGGTGGTTTCTCCTGGACGCTTTTAATAAAAATTTTGATCACGATTTCTGACTAGGTGTCGATGGGTTATAGGGGGGTGATTTGCGTCTTGAATTCCAGGTATAGAGCTGCAGTGCCTGGGTCTTGCAGGGAAAGGCTTCTTGCACAATTCGCTTTCGCAGTCTTGCTTTTGATGGAATGCTTTGTGTTGTTTAGCACGGTAATGATGAACCTGTTGCGTTAGAGAGTCATTTGCATTTTGTTGATTTCCATTTAGATTATCTAGATTTGGACTAAGACACCGGTGGCTTTTTTTGCATTTGGGAGATGACCGGCAGTTGGATCTTTTAGTTGGATCTTTCTGACTAGATGTCGATCAGTTATAGAGGGGTGATTTGAGTCTTGAATTCTAGGTATAGAGCCACAACGCCTAGGTCTTGCAGGGAAAGGCATCTTGCGCAATTCGCTTTCACAATCGTGTTTTTGGAGGAATGCTTTGTGTTGTTTGGCGCGGTAATGATAAACCTGTTGTCTTAGTGAATCATTTGCATCTAGTTGATTTGCATTTAGTTGATCAAGATTTGGACTAAGACAATGGTGGCTTTTATTTCCATTAGGGAGATGACCTGCAGTTGGATCATTTTGTTCGACATCAGTAACAATGATGACTGAATCATTAGCAGCTGTTAAGCCTCTCGTTATACGGTTATGGTTTTGATATTCAAGCACCGATTCGTGACCCAGACCATTGGGTAGTTTACTTTTGCCATTAACTGAGGCTAATCCGACAGGACTTAAATCTGTATTGTTCTCTATGTTCGCTGTTCCCTTTAGATATGATTTAATTAACAAAATCTCATCTTTGAGACGGTTTACCTCGTGCTCTAAAGCACTGTTCTTTGCCTTTTCTCCCTCA